CAATCATCGTGGACTAATGTGTCTGCCACACCATCTCATCGGCCCCCGAACAATATTTGAAACTTGTTCGTAGCGAAACGCTCAATGTTACTAGTAATATTGCTCACTATCGCACCTGTTAATATTTGTTCAGGCATAGGTATTTATAGTATAACGTTTTTTAGGCATAGTTCAATTGTAGCTATTGGGCCTCAAGAAAAGATGATCATCTAGCTGTCTAAGAGTTTGCCTATCTGAGTCCACTTATAATTTCAAATGTTTGGCGATTAGTATGAACTTAAAAGAACAATCCTCAGTTCTCATAATATTTATAAGCTAAATACAGATTGAAGATAAAGCAAAAAGGAACAAATTACAAAGCAAGTCAAGACAGTTAAGTGTAAATATGGCTGAGTTAGAAATATATATAAAAATAATATTAAAGTATATTAAAATTGATATGAGATGATCTTAACAATATACAAGCATGAACCAATCAAAATCATGATAAAAGATATCATTTCCAAGAGATTTCGCCTTAATGTAAGTATTCGCATAGATTTTGCTGAAGTTTTCAATAGAGTATATAATATAATATAACCAAAAACGAATTTCATAAATTAATTATTAAAGAGCATCATCATCAAGGTTACTCTTTATTTACATCAAAATATTTTATTGGTGACAATTTACCATTATCTATATATATGGATTTAAGGAGATAGACGAATAAAGACTACCAAATTAGTAAGGAATGTAACCTGGAAATTATTTAAGCAAGGGGTGAATAGATATTAATATATGCACAGAATGAGAGGCACAAAGTTATATTTATATAGTAATAGGGTGATACATATCAAAATAAGAACAGCTTAAACATCTTGTTTGGTGGCGACGTCTGTGAGTATAAAATTTGCATTTGCTAAGATGCAGCAAATAGAATACAAGACAACAGTGACTAAAAAGAGGTTTGGATTAAGCCTATTTGGAATATCACCAAAACAGATTAAGAACACTGGATTTCAATGAGTGAAAACAAGAACAAGGGATAAATCATAAAATAAAAATTAACCTTTTAAATCAAAATTCCCTGTAGAAGATTTCTTTTCTGCAAAGATTGTGTAGACGCCCACATCTTCTTCAGAAATTTGGTCTAAGATTACACGATGTAACAGACCATTTTGGGCCTCCTCGAGGCGAATCTTCTTGCCGGTCTTCAAAGGCTTTCCGTCTTTTAGCCAAATCACCGAATCTTTCGATTTCCTAGACAACTCAGCCTCAAGAACGATCGGATGAGGAGGAACTTTAGAGAGCGAGATGTCTTCAAGTTTGCGAATGAACTCAAGTGGGATACCTGTAAGTGAAAAAAACATTCAATTGAAATATATTTTAATACAACTTTAATAAGGATCATCTAAATAGTGAAGAGGCCCTCTCAAGTTAAGAAATTGAAAAATGATTGAGAAGAATAAACATAGAGAATGGAAGCAAAATAGAGGGCAGAAGCATTAAAAAGAAGCAAAAATATGGAGATAAATTAACATAGTTCACACACAATAGGGGTGGAGAAAAAGAAAATGGAATTTTAATTTTATTCAAAACATATTCAGAATAATAGAACGGAGAAAGGAATCAATACTAATAATGCATGGAAAGAAGGAATATAAATATCAAAAGAAAAAGCATAGATTAAATAAACGAAGAGAAATTACACATAATTGATTAAAGAAATAATGAGGATTCAATATAGTAACAAGTAAAATTTTGAAAAAATGACAAGAAAAGGTGATGCAAAAAAGGAATAAATTCAAGAGTAGATATAAAAACATGAATATATAAGAAGAGTATTTCACAAGGAGAGTAAGAGCTGTGTTAAAGGAGTGTAGCAAAGTGAACTAAATCTAATATAGCATGCATAAGGAAAAATAGTTCAATTGTCAGAGTGCTTTTAGAGACTAACAGTGGCTAACATATATGAGAAGTCGGAATTGTAGATCGTTAAATAAATAAAGGATTGGAAGGATGAATAGTAATGAGATGTATTCACTAATTTTCATTTAAGGAGATAAATGATTGGTAGTATAATTTTCCCACAATGGCGCAAGTAGGCTGACGTTTCTATTGAATTTCACATAAGCATGTATTCCGAAATGGCGTTCTCATCCAAGGTAGAGAGCAGATCAAAATCGAATAGGTTGGAGTGCGAAAATTCAGAATGTGATCTTGACACGTGAAAAACCCGGCTACATTGCCACGATACTATTTAGGTCAGAGAGCGGATGTCAATTTCAAGTAAAGCAAAGCATTTTACAAAATCACATACTTTGTAAGAGGCAAACGAATTTTTGCCTAAAGCATAAACCAAGTTACTTATTTATCGAATGCAGATAGAGTTTCAGGATTATAAGAAAATTAGTAAAATGAGAGGTATTTTAAGATAAATTCCGAAGTAGTCCATAGGTGAACATTCGAAGTTGTATGTCTATGCCTATGTCAATGTGGGTGTTTGAGCAGGTGTGTGTTGGTGCCTGTTTGTGCCTGAATCGATATCCAATATTAAGTTAAACAAAAATTAGTATCTCTAGTTCGAGGATGAATTTTAGAATACAAATGCTAGAATGATCGAGGTAGAACAATAACTAGCAATAGGTGAAATGG